GCTCGAACGTCCCATAAAAACTGCAATGGGATCGCAGGTGCAATCGTTCTATTGAAATAAATTTTAATTGGGGGAAAGTGTGTTATATATTCAAATTTCTGTCCGTAACTATATATGTTATCTGTCCCAGCAATAGTAGTGGTAGACCCACTCTGGAGTACAAAGGATGCCGCGTCACTGTGCGGGCTGAAGTAGTTAGTATGCAAGTCTAATTTGATATCGTATGTAATTAGCGCGCAAGGCTACTCTGGCAGCGGAAGTAATTAGTATGCAAAATCTATGACATCACTTTGCTGGGCAGGCCTGGGCCAAAAGTAACAGGTAACGCGACCAATCGTTACCTGTTACAGAAATCAATGACGTAACTGAAGGCCGAAACAGTCATTAAGCTGAGCCCAGCATTTTCATTGTAGAAGACGACGCTTGCTATACATGTGTATAATTTCGTATGAGAATCATTTCGGTGTGAAAGCCATACGATGGAGTACGCCATACGATGAAAGTGAAAGCGATACGATGCATCGAAAAGCTGCATCTTCTACAATTTATTGGAAGAAATATATGCGAATGCAGTCGCACCTGAAGTTCAAAGACTTTGTGTGGAATTCTGCAATGATTGTCAAGTCGGTCATCTTAGTCAAGGGCAAAATGACTGCCTCATGATGAACGAAAACGAACGATGGCAAATGTATGGTTTACAAACGATCGGACGAGTGAATGCTAAGCGTATGGTTTGGACATAGGCAGCCCAAAACGGCGTGTAGAATGCACCAATAATGCTTCCAAATGTCAATTTGCATTAAGCTCGCCCCATTCCTTTGTCATTTGTCGCGCGCCGCAAGCACTCAATTTGAAAAGCAGTGTTGATTTGTGTTGATATATATAGATTATACCTAAGGTTGGCAACTATATCTCAACTGACGAATATACCACTTCGGCAGAACGTAAAATACTTCGTACACGTAAATAAAACATGATAAAAAATTATACCACATTGAACTCTGATATTTTTTCTACATACCCGCGTATAAATTTTGTTTTCAAGACTGCAAAAAAGATGAAAAATTTGCACAAACGTTTCATGGTCTGATGAAAATTTTGATGTGACTATGCGGGATGCCAAAGGTTATTTCATTCGTCATATTTTTAAAAAAATTATGTGATTCAATTGGTTGAAAAAATAAACAGTTTGTGACGTATTTATAGTAAAAATTTGGTTTCAGGGGGGGTTGAACTACAACAGGAAGACTTCTAAAATACAAGAGCGATTTTTTTTCGAAAATGAAATGGTGGATTTTAAAAACTTTTTACATCCATCCATAACTTTTATCTACAGCAAAACAACCAGGTAACTTTTGGCTACATGTACACGAAATGTCATGAAATTCTGAGCAATAATGGCAAAGAAAATGTGCTATAAAAAAGACGGCGATATGTAATGCGAGCACGCTTCGTTGTGAGTTGTGAACCTTGCTCGATAAAGTGTATACAGGGTGTATCAAAATAAACGCAATTCGTCTTTTGTGCTTAATAACGTTCGAAATACTATTTCTAATTAAACGCTTTTAGGCTTACTTCAAAGCCTGTTCTTTTCTCTTTCAAACAAACTATTATCCTTGTCTCCAATGCTAGTAATAATTGCACAGGAAAAGATTTAGTAAAACCTATCATTTTTAGTTCCTGTTTAATTATGCAAGTTTACTATGTTATTGTTTAGTCGGTTTAAATGTTAGAATTTTTTTCTTTAAACTTTAATGTTGTCGTCACTACATCTGGAAAACCACGTAAGAACAAATTAAAAGTATTTTAAAAGAGACCAGGTTGTTTGAAAATCCTAAACGAATCCAAGCCAAAATTATATCGCATTTGAAGTTTCAAACTGAGTTAAAAATAGTGGAAGAAAAGCCGTAATTATACTTATTGTTATAATCCATTTAATAAAATGCAACATTTTTTTGTTTTAATGAAAAAATCAGTTATTTTCATGAGAACGATTTGTTATTCCATCTCAATTTTTTTAATTTCCAATCGCAATAACGTAAAGCATTATTACCCGCAAACCAATGAGTCAAATTTAAGAAACAACCCATTGTTAGAAAGCTGAATGGCTACGCTTTAAAATGAATGTGAACTTTAAAGTTTCCGTCTATTATTTGTTTAGCAATTTACATTTTAGTCGAGGATTGCGCTTTTTTTGATACACCCTGTATAGGCAGTGAATTTAGTTATAGCGTTTTAATTTAGCTTGGTTCAATAAGTTGGATAATTTTTTCCGTTTAATACTGAGTGAATGTGTTCACAAAATAGGCTGCAATTTGTAAGAGTGCTAGCATTATTTTATATCCCAGCATAGAATTTTGCATTTATATTTCTTGTATCAAAGTTCTGAAAGTTTAATATGTATTCTATAATAAATGCCTAAACATCTCCCTAGTTTAAACTTTAAAGTACACATTAGTTAACAAAAACTAGTGACTGTATCTATTACTGTGAATACGTACTGTCTTTCACACTGATGATAAATAAAACAGGCCAAAATGCAAATTTGTTTTCATATAAAAACAGTTTTATAGTGATATAAAAACAGTTCTACAGAATTCACTTCGAAATATTCTTGCTATATAGCTATTTAAAATTATAACTACTGTAGAGATCCAGTATTTAATACTGAACACTTGATTACTAGGAAAAATAAATTATCCAACCTATTGTTCCGAGTTACAGTATTAAAAACGCTATAAAATAATTCATACCTATAACTTTTCCGAGCTTCACAACGAAGCGTGCTCGCATTACATATCGCCGTCTTTTTTATAGCACATTTTCTTCGCCATTATTGCTCAGAATTTCATGACATTTCGTGTACATGTAGCCAAAAGTTATCTGGTTGTTTTGCTGTAGATAAAAGTTATGGATGGATGTAAAAAGTTTTTAAAATCCGCCATTTCATCTTCGAAAAAAAATCGCTCTTGTATTTTAGCAGTCTTCCTGTTGTAGTTCAACCCCCCCTGAAACCAAATTTTTACTATAAATACGTCACGAACTGTTTATTTTTTCAACCAATTGAATTACATAATTTTTTTAAAAATATGACGAATGAAATAACCTCTGGCATCCCGCATAGTCACATCAAAATTTTCATCAGACCATGAAACGTTTGTGCAAATTTTTCATCTTTCTTGCAGTCTTGAAAACAAAATTTATATGCGGGCATGTAGAAAAAATATCAGAGTTCAATGTGGTATAATTTTTTATCATGTTTTATTTACGTATACGAAGTATTTTGCGTTTTGCCGAAGTGGTATATTCGTCAGTTGAGATATAGTTGCCAACCTTAGGTATAATCTATATATATCAACACTGCTTTTCAAATTGAGTGCTTGCGGCGCGCGACAAATGACAAAGGAATGGGGCGAGCTTAATGCAAATTGACATTTGGAAGCATTATTGGTGCATTCTACACGCCGTTTTGGGCTGCCTATGGTTTGAATATAAATTAGACCATATGGGCTTAGTAAAAAAATATTTTAATAACTACGTTTCGGAGTATAACTCCACCTTCAGGTTAAAAGTGAATAAAGATATAAAAACTGTGATAAAAACTTTCAAAACAATTACAAATTTTACATGTAAGTGATTTTTAATACTGTAAGAAAGTTCTTGAACAGTTGATGACGAAGACAATGACGAATACTTATGTCGTGATTTTTTTGTCGGCTTCACTTTTCGCTCTCTGTTATCATACCAGATATATATATATATATATATATATATATATATATATATATATATATATATATATATATATATATATATATATATATATATATATATATATATATCTGGAATGATAACAGTGAGCGAAAAGTGAAGCCGACAAAAAAAATCACGACATAAGTATTCGTCATTGTCTTCATCATCAACTGTTCAAGAACAATCACTTACATATAAAATTTGTAATTGTTTTGAAAGTTTTTATCACAGTTTTTATATCTTTATTCACTTTTAACCTGAAGATGGAGTTATACTCCGAAACGTACTAAGCCCATATGGTCTAATTTATATTCAAACACACGTACATATCATTTACATTTTGCTGGCAGGCAAATTCCGATCACACAATAAATTCTTTAAAAAATAACGTACCAGTGTATTGACTAAAAACTATAAAACTGGTAAACTAAAAAAACAATTCAAACAATCGCGAAAAATGGCAACGGCAAAGTCACAGTTGCAAGTCAATTTACCTACCTGTGAAATGAAATTTTCTCGCAAGAATATCTCTTTCATAAGTTCTTTGTATGTTTGCATGGTGATAAAATATAATAGGTTTTGTTTGTGGAAACACCACGTAAATTTATTACTAATAATAAATTTACGTGGTGTTTCCACAAACAAAACCTATTATAATATCTCTTTCCTTGTGCATCCAGAACGACACAATATATTTGAAAAAGTGATTCTTTTCTCCACACGGGGAAGTTTTCCTCGACTTTTTTCCGACAGGAAACTCAACGCAGTAAATTTTAGGAGCAAAACAGTTTGCTCCTAAAATGTATTGCATTGAGTTGGCCATGTTTTTAATTTTTTTTCGTGATTGCGTTCAAATTTATACTGGCCGTGCAAACTGAGACTGACGTCCAATCCGCGTGAAAGACTGGTATCGAGGCTTCATTGTTTTCACAATCAAATGACTGAATGTTATCGTTCCAGATATATATATATATATATAGAGTTCACTGGCCCATACTTGCTTAAAGCCAAGATGGCGGAAATTGAAGCTCGTTCTGTAGGTATAAAACACGCGTGATTTTTGCGTGGGCTTGTCGCGAGGAGTCCAGAGCAGAGAAAGCGTGTTAAAATATTTTGACAAGTGTGGATTCAAAGGCCAAGAAATTTCGGGGTTTTTACTTGAAATGCGTACGATTTTTGAACTCTTTTAACAGTAATTCTAATGCAAAGTATATTTCTTGATTATAAGATACAATCAATCGAGTATTAAAGGGAGCGATTGCAGAATACCCGTCCACTTTTGATAGGTTGTTAAACCGAATAAATGAATTAAAAGATTATTTCAAAACAGTTCACAATTAAAATTTAAAGATAAAACTACAAGAATATGTTGCTTGTAGTTAAATTCAATGCCGGAGTCTTTAAAGAACGAAGCATTTAAAATTGACATTCTTTTCTGATTTCGCCATGTTTACAAGGAATTAATAGGTGTAATATGTCAAAGTGGACGGGTATTCTGCAATCTAACCTATTAAAGTTATTTTATCGAGCGACGAGCGACATCGTTTTGCTTTTAATACTGACTGAAAAGTCAAACGTTCCAACAGCAACGAATTGGTTCAGTTTGGGCTATATTTGTGGACTCAGGCCAACGAATCATTAATTAAAAGATAAGTATTGTATTATTTTACTCTTATTGTACTCTTATTTGCTATAACTATTGATTTTTGAACAAGAATCATTCAACTTGTTTATGCGCCAATCAATTTATACTGTTAACATCCCCCGGGCATACCCCTGGGCATTTGAACTTTTTGAACTTTTGTGGTTAAATTTCCCACTCCCAGGACAAAAATGCTGTCCAAATGCCCCAATCCCCCAATCATTCTGACTGTAATTCTATCAGTTCAAGTTTGAAATTGTGTAAAAACATACACTGAGGTAACTTCAACGCTAACTTCAACAGTTTAATAAATGAGACTCTGTATTAAACAACTTACATCTCATGCTTTATAAAGCTTCCAAAAGTGTTTAAAGTATACTCCATTTTGAATTTTGTTTTTTAATAAATCTCAGACCTCTCGCAATCTGGTGTATTGGGTCGTTCCAGAAAACATCCATACCACCCCCACAGAGGAAATTGGAAGTTTACCCCCTACCACCTTTGGATGTCCTAATGCATTTACTATTATCAGAAACAATTTTTTCTCCCCTCCCCCTCCGGACGGCAAAAATTTCCTCTGTGGGGGGAGTGTGGATCTTTTCTGGAACGACCCATTAAATGGTCAAATGCCCCAGTCTTGTGACTCAGCGTAAAATGCCCTACCCTAACAGCACTTCAAAAGGTCAAATTCCCCACTCAAGTTGTCAAATGCCCGGGAGGGTGTTAACAGTATAAATTGGTCGGCGCATTAAATGGTGCCTGTCACTGGGCATTCCATTCTGTATGATTGTGGATAGATAGAAAAATTTTATTTACCCATGCTAACCCTGTCAACTGAAGCTGATTTCCTCAGGGGGTGTGTAGTGCTTCCTGTACATGAAGAGACACAATGTATAATATTTGTCTGCTGCCACTTTATTAGATTTACTTGGTGGTCACCTTCAATCATATCTTTGTTTGCACCTAGCTCGTGGTCTGCAAACACAGATTTGTTGCCATCCAGGAGAAAATGATGACAAACTTCCAGAATCATTTTGCTTTTTAGGTTCTTCATGTTGTTGATGCTGTTGCCTTTCTGGCAAACATACAGCTTGAAGATATGTTCACAGTGTTCAATTGTAGTGTAAACAGACTTTGATTTGTAGTGTACTTGTTATGGTTAAATTAACCCATTAAGCGCCAGCGCTATCCCCTTGACAAGTGAAATTGTCTGGCGTTAGAAAGAGTCTGACATTAGAAAGAGTCTGACGTTAGACAGAGTAAAATAATAAAATAGGGTGCAATGCATCTCAATGGGTTAACTAGACACATGGGCAGATAGGCTAGTTAACCCATTAAGCGCCAGCGCTATCCCCTTGATGAGTAAACTTATCTGGCGTTAGACAGAGTGAAATAATAAAGTAATGTGCATCAGGGCGCAATGCGACTCAATGGGTTAATTTCACAATTTGTTTCTCTGTGACCTTTACAAGAGCCTTGTAAGGAACAATTGCCACTTGTGATATACAGTAGAACTGTTGTTAATGGGCATTCAGGCCAATTGTGGAAGTGGTCATTGAGTACTTACAGTTTGTGTAGTTTGACTGTACATAGTTTTACTGTAAATATATATGTGTATTGTATGCCTGGTATGGTCAAATGTTGTCGGTATGTAATTTATTAAAAAAATACTATATATTTACCCGTGTCAGGTGATGTGTGTATTAATTATTGCAGTAAGGCCTGATTAATACATTGTTGCAAGAATAAACATTTGCCTGTGAAATGAAATTTTTGGCTTATTTTCTTTGTTACTGCTGTAATATTCATTACTTTTACACTTGTAAATTGTACAGTTAACTGGCATGTTATTTTTTCCTTCTGAAAGGAGATAGCTTTTGTTTTTTACTTTAGAAAATGATTTTTTTCTTACAATTTCAGAAAAAAATTTGTTCTCTGACAGGTGAAAAAGGACTGGGGAGAGTTAAAATTTGTTGAAAGATTTGTTTCTGTTTTTGCACGAAAATACTCATTTTTAGTGATACATAGCCTACCTAAATGGTAAAAAATAAGTGAAAAAGTAAGATTGATGTAACTTTAGCCCATATTCGCTGTGTTCTTTTCAAATTACTCACCGAAAGTCCTGAAAACACAAAAGTTTGCCGATGTTTCTTGGCGGCTTTTTTGCCGAACTTGTTTTTCACTCATCAAATAAGTTGAGATAAATTACAAAATGTTTCTAAAATTTACTTCTTCTGAAAGACCACTTTCTCTAGTTTACTAGAGGCATAGAAAAGCTCGACTTTCAAACAGTTGGCTGAAAAATTATGAAGCTTTTACATAAAATGATGAACATTTTTCATACAGAATTTAGTAAATTTCCGCGTAGGGGCCTGGATCATACCTACAAAACGAGCTTCAATTTCCGCCATCTTGGCTTCAATTTTGGAGCCGCAGTTATCGTTCCAGTATATAGTAGAGTTCACTGGGTTCAACTTGTCATGTGCGTATATACATTTTTGGCAAGAAAAATTTCGAGTAAAACCGCATTAAAACTAAGTAGAATACTCTACAATGAATACTATATCTGTTTCTATAAACTTTATATA